AGACCATCCTGGCTAACACGGTGAAACCCCGTCTCTACTAAAAATACAAAAAATTAGCCGGGTGTGGTGGTGCACGCCTGTAGTCCCAGCTACTCGGAGGCTGAGGCAGGAGAATGGTGTGAACCTGGGAGGCGGAGCTTGCAGTGAGCTGAGATCGCGCCACTGCACTCCAGCCTGGGCGACAAAGTGAGACTCCGTCTCAAAAAAAAAAAATAATAATAATATTAATAATAGGCCGGATGCCGTGGCTCATGCCTATAATCCCGCACTTTGGGAGGCTGAGGCGGGTGGGTCACGAGGTCAGAAGATCGAGACCATCGTGACTAATACGGTGAAACCCCATTTCTGCTAAAAATAAAAAAAAAAAAATTAGCCAGGTGTGGTCACTGGCTACTCGGGAGGCTGAGGCAGGAGAATGGCATGAACCCGGGAGGTGGAGCTTCCAGTGAGCCGAGATTGCGCCACTGCACTCCAGCCTGGGCGACAGAGCGAGACTCCAACTCAAAAAATAATAACGATAATAAGTAAATAAATAAATATTGCCAGGCGCGGTGATTCACGCCTATAATCCCAACACTTTGGAAGGCTGAGGCGGGTGGATCTCGAGGTCAAGGAGTTCAAGATCTGCCTGGCCAACATGGTGAAACCCCGCCTCTACTAAAAATTCAAAAAATTACCCGGGCGTTGTGGTGGGTGCCTGTAGTCCCAGCTACTCAGGAGGCTGAGGCAGAGAATTGCGGGAACCTGGAAGGTGGAGCTTGCAGTGAGCCGAGATCGTGCCACTGCACTCCAGCCTGGGCGACAGAGCGAGACTCTGTCTCAAAAATAAATAAATAAATAAAAATTAAAAGAAAATGGGAATCAGGCTGCTGAATAATGTAATGAAATAGCCCAGAAAACAGCAGCTATCTCATTTTCGTTTTTGAGACAGGGTCTTGCTCTGTTACCCAGGCTGGAGTGTAGTGGTGCAATCTTGGCTCACTGCAACCTCCACCCCTCCAGTCTCAAGCGATCCTTCCACCTCAGTCTGTGGAGAAGCTGGGATTACAGGCATGGGTCACCATACCCGGCTAATTTTTTTTTTTTTAATACTTTAAGTTCTAGGGTATGCACAACGTGCAGGTTTGTTACATATGTATACATGTGCCATGTTGGTGTGCTGCACCCATTAACTCATCATTTACACTAGGTATTAATGCCATCCCTCCCCCTACCCTCCTCCCCACAATAGGCCCCGGTGTGTGATGTTCTCCACCCTGTGTAAAAGTGTTCTCATTGTTCAATTCCCACCTATGAGTGAGAACATGCGGTGTTTGGTTTTCTGTCCTTGTGATAGTTTGCTGAGAATGATGGTTGCCAGCTGCATCCATGTCCCTACAAAGGACATGAACTCATCTTTTTTTATGGCTGCATAGTATTCCACGGTGTATATGTGCCACATTTTCTTAATCTAGTCTGTCATTGATGGACATTTGGGTTAGTTCCAAGCCTTTGCTATTCTGAATAGTGCCGCAATAAACATATGTGTGCATGTATCTTCATAGCAGCATGATTTATAATCCTTTGGATATATACCCAGTAATGGGATGTCTAGGTCAAATGGTATTTCTAGTTCTAGATCCTTGAGGAATCACCACACTGTCTTCCACAATGGTTGAACTAGTTTACAGTCTCACCAATAGTGTAAAAGTGTTCTTATTTCTCCACATCCTCTCCAGCACTTGTTGTTTCCTGACTTTTTAATGATCGCCATTCTAACTGGTGTGAGATGGTATCTAATTGTATACCAGGCTAATTTTTGCATTTTTGGTAGAGACAGGATTTCACCATATTGGCCAGGTTGGTCTTGAACTCCTGAGCTCAAGTGATCTGTCCACCTTGGCTTCCCAAAGTGCTGGGATTACAGGAGTGAGCCACCTTGCCCAGCCAACTGTAGCTATTTCTTTCTTTTTTTCTTTTTTGTTTTTTGAGATGGAGTTTCACTCTTGTTGCCCAGGCTGGAGTGCAGTGGTGCATTCTCGGCTCACTGCAACCTCCACCTCCCGGGTTCAAGTGATTCTCCTGCCTCAGCCTCCCGAGTAGCTGGGCCCACACCCACAGTAGCTATTTCTTACCTCTCACCCTGGGGTTGTGGGAGGCCAGGTGGGGACTTCTGGGCAGATGTTGCCCTCAAGAAGAACCGAAAGCCTGGGAGATGACTGTCTCAAAAAAAAAAAAAAAGACTGGGCATGGTGGCTCATGCCTGTAATCCCAGCACTTTGGGAGGCCGAGGCGGGCAGATCACAAGGTCAGGAGATCGAGACCATCCTAGCCAACATGGTGAAACCCCGTCTCTACTAAAAATACAAAAAAATTAGCCAGGCGTGGTGGCGGGTGCCTGTAGTCCCAGCTACTCGGGAGGCTGAGGCAGGAGAATGGCGTGAACCCGGGAGGTGGAGCTTGCAGTGAGCCGAGATTGCGCCACTGCACTCCAGCCTGGGCGACAGAGTGAGACTCTGTCTCAAAAAAAAAAAAGGGCGTTTGGCAAAATCACCAGGGCTCATCCCCTAGACCAGAGTTATTTTGTTACTCAAGGCCACCAAGAAGCTGAGGGTTACCAGGCAAATCTCCCACTGACCTTGAATCTTGGATGAGTCACTTCCCCTCTCTGAGCCATCCCTGCCCTCCCCTCCTCCCTCCCTCTCACTCACTCTACTCCAGCCACAGGGCCCCCCTCGCTGTTCTAGGTGCCGGGTGCAGTCCTGCCTCAGGGCCTTTGCATGGACTGGGCCTGCTGCCTGGAATGCTGTTCCCCCTAACTGGACATGGTTCCCTCCTGACCTCTCTCTCTTCTCTTCTTGGATGTCACTCAGAAAGGCCTCCTCTGACCTCCCTACAAAAAACTGCAGCCCCATCGGGTGCAGTGGCTCACGCCTGTAATCCAGCACCTTGGGATGCCAGGGCTGGTGGATCACGTGAGGTCAGGAGTTCAAGACCAGCTTGGACAACATGGTGAAGCCCTGTCTCTACTAAAAAAAATACAAAAATTGGCCAGGCATGGTGGCACAGGCCTGTAATCCCAGCCACTTGGGAGGTCGAGGCACGAGAATTGCTTGAACGTGGGAGGCGGAGGTTGCAGTGAGCCAAGATCGTGCCACTGCACTCCAGTCTGGGTGACAGAGTGAGACTCCGTCTCAAAAACAAAAAACAAGAACAAAAACCCTGCAGCCCCCACATTCGTCTTTTCCTTTGCTGTCCTACCACGTGACCCATTGTAAAGTTCACTCACTTATCTTGTTCCTTGTTCGTCTCTCGCACTGGTTAGTGAGTGTCACGAGGGCTGGAATTCTTATCTGTTTAGCTCACCGCTGTGCCCAGTGCAAGGACTCCATAAATATGGTTGAATGAGTGAATGACAAGGAAAAAGTCTGTTACAAATGCCAAGGAATGCGGTCTCAGATTCACTTGAGAATCTCACTAACTGCCTGAAGTTACTTCAATTTAAACATTCAGGACAAGTGCAGTGTCTCACACTTGTAATCCCAGCACTTTAGGAGGCCAAGGCAGGTGGATCACTTGAGGCCAGGAGTTTGAGACCAGCCTGGCCAACATGGTGAGTCCTCATCTCTACCAAAAATACAAAAATTAGCCGGGTGTGGTGGCACGCACCTGTAATCCCAGTTACTTGGGAGGCTGAGGCAGGAGAACCGCTTGAACCCGGGAGGTAGAGGTTGTAGTGAGTCGAGATTGCACCATTGCACTCCAGCCTGGGTGACAGAGCAAGACTCTGTCTCAAAAAAAAAAAAAAATTTAAACATTCAGCTTCTCACTGTGCATTATCCACATGGTGCTTTTGGCTACAGTGTTGGATGGCACACAATTCTAGAACACTCTTAACATTGCAGAAAGTTCTATTGGACAGTGCTAGCATAGACCCTGTCCTCACCCACCCCCCAGAAAAATGCAGTCACAGACACCCAATTTTTCCCATGTTCTTTCTAAAGCTACCAGAAGCTTCATTCTATTCAAATAATTTAGCAGAAGTGGCAAACCGGTGGCCCCTGGGCTGGACACAGCCCCTGTTGTTCCCTAACAGGCAGGACATGTCTACGGCTTGAACTTCCTGTGGATCTGTGACTCCCCAGGTGGGTCTCCCATAGGACACTGCTCTCCCCTGCCCCTCTAAGCAGAGCATCACTGCCACCTCCTCAGCAGAAATATTCATCTCCTCCTTGGCCCCTAGGGCCATCTGAGATTGAGACCTTGGTTTATAGACCAAGAAGATAAAGAATTTGGGTGGTGGAGAGGGGCGGGGTAAAATCCAGGCGGAGGCAGCTTCAGGAAGAGGTTGATCCAGCAGTCACAGAGCCTGTAACCTGACGGCTGCCTTGCCCCTGGCTGACCCTCTCCAGGCCTCAGTTTCCTCCTCCACAAAACAGGGATGATAAAAAGTCAATATAGTGCTGGGAGGTCTGATGCTGGGCAGGTCGGGCTGGAGGCTGGATGAGTTCCCTGTGGTGGTTCAAGTCGCTCATATAGCTGGGTTGGGCCGGGTGCGGTGGCTCACACCTGTGATCCCAGCACGTTGGGAGGCCCAGGCGGGCAGATCCCTTGAGGTCAGGAGTTCGAGACCAGCCTGGCCAACATGGTGAAACCCCGTCTCTACCAAAAATACAAAAATTAGCCAGGCCTGGTGGCACGTGTCTGTAATCCCAGCTACTCAGGAGGCTAAGGCAGGAGGATCTCTTGAACCCAGGAGGTGGAGGTTGCAGTGAGCCAAGGTCGTGCCACTGCACTCCAGCCTTAATGACAGAGCGAGACTGCGTCTCGAAAAAAAAAAAGTGTGTGTATGTATATATATATAGCTGGGTTGCAGCCCATGGTGGAGGGCCTGGCCCCTGACGCGCTGGCGAAGGTCACCCTGCAACTCTCCTGGGGTTCTAACAGCCTCAGTTTGGCCATAGGGGAAATGGGCGACATAGGGAATCCCAGCACCCGTGCGGCGCCCCGATCGCACTCACCTCCCAGGGCCAACTTCATAGGGTCCCCAGCTGCGGAGCGGGGGGTCCCGTGACTGGGACAGGCGTGGTCCAGGAGTGCCCCCTCCCCTTCAGGGCGTGTAGTCCTTCGCGTACTTCTTAAGTGACTTGGCGAGGGGCGGGGCCTAGTGGAGGCGGGCTAGGGAGGAGAGGGGCGGGCCTGGCGCGGGCATTCCCTCAACCTGATTGGTTCTCTCGCCCGTCACTCCCTTGCGCCCCCAACCCACCGCGCAGTAAAAGCCAGCCCCGCCCCGGCCCTGACGGTTTCAAGGCTGGTCTGGAAGCCGCAGTTATTGTGCCTGGGACGTCCAGTTGACCGCGGTGAGTGGCGGGGGTCCCTCAGTTGAGCTGGGGGGCGGTGTCCACCGAGTCCTGGGGCACCCCAGGGGCGGAGGGGTCGGGGAGGGCCTTTCTCGGGGTGGGATTTGCTGGACTCTGCGGCCTGGGGAGGGGTCTTCAGCCCAGGCGGGTCACCCCTCCCCCCAGAAAAATCCAACGTCTGCAACGGAGCTTGAACTTTGAAACCCTCTTCTCACTTCCTGGGACTTTTGAGGGGCGAAAGATACTGAGGGAGGTGGGCTAAATACCGCCCCCGTCCGGTTTTCTCTAAATTGTGATCTGTTTGCTTGCTTTTGGAAACGCAATTTGCAGGTAAGTTTCCTCCTGCAGGCAGAAACTTCGCCCTCCCTTCCGGGGTCTTCAGAGACACCCCTCGCCACCGTAAAGCCGCCTCCCCTCCAGATGGTTTCGCCACGGGCGTTGGAAGGGGGGTTGCCCCGGCTCCTGGCGCCCCCAACTGCTTCTGGGGAGGTCTTGGGCGAATCCTGCCCACTTCCCTCGGGTGGGCGTGGCGGCGAGATGGCTTGAAAGTAGGAAGGCCTACCCCTTAACTGCTTTGGGGTTCTTGTCCCGGCTGGGCCTAGCAGTGGGACCTGGGGCTCTTGGAATTTTTGAAGTCCAGTCTTAGCATGCCCTGAAGTTGCTGGATGACTGGGTCTGGCCTGAAACTCCCCTTCTGGAGCCAGCGGCAAGGCAGGTCACTGACCCCCAGGGGTTTCATAGGGCGTTGACATCTGCAGTGGCCACCCTTGCTTTAACCAGTTCCAGAAAGTCATGGTGGACAGAGGGGACGGGAGGAAGCTGCCTGAGTCCTAAGTGGGACTTGGGAATCTGTCGAGGCCAGGACTTTGATGCCTGCCTACCTGGCCGCCTGCCCAGGTGAGCTCAGGCTCCGAAGGAGGTGAGAAGAATAGATTTAGGCAGTGATCACTGGGAGGTAGGTATATCTTCTCACCTGACTTCCCAGTTGGGGGATTTTTGTACCTAGCAGGAAGCTGGTTCCTGGCTGGCTGTACCCCTTTGTCCGTGGAAGCCAGAGTGCGGTGAGATGGTTTATGGAGCTCTTACTATGTGCCAGGCATGGAGCTGAGCTTCCCCGGAGCAGTGTCTCCTCCAGTCCACAGGGACTCCAGGCTCTTGTGAAACTTATACCCATTTCACAGATGTGGCAAGCAAGGCTCCTAGGGAATGCTGCCTGCCCAAACTCCTATTCCTAGTGAGTTGCCAAACTGGGATTAGAACCCACTCTGGACTGGGCACGATGACTCACGCCTGTAATCCCAGCACTTTGGGAGGCTGAGGTGGGCAGATCATTTGCAGTCAGGAGTTCGAGAACAGCCTGGTCAACATGGTGAAACCCCACCGCTACTAAAAATATGAAAATTAGCTGGACCTGGTGGCAGGCGCCTGTAATCCCAGATACTCTGGAGGCTGAGGCAGGAGAATCCCTTGAACCTGGGAGACGGAGGTTGCAGTGAGCTGAGATCGTGCCACTGCACTCCAGCCTGGGTGACAGAGCAAGACTCCATCTCAAAGAAAAAACAAAAACAAAAAGAGAACCCAATCTGGACTCCAGATCCAGTGCTCCCAAAACATCATTTTGCTGAGTTCTGCTTAGGGGACATCAAAGCAAGGCCACCAGGAGACGGGGCCTCATTCCTCTGGAAAAGATGCTCAGAGTCAAGGCCACAGGTTCTTAGGCTCACACCAGAATTCCCCGGGAAAGCAGCCCATAAGGCAGGCATGACCTTTAGCCACATTTTTTTTTGAGATGGAGTCTTCCTCTGTCACCCAGGCTGGAGTGCAGTGGTGCGGTCTTGCCTCGCTGCAACCTCTGCCTCCCAGGTTCAAGCAATTCTCCTGCCTCAGCCTCCCAAGTAGCTGGTACCTGCCAAGTAGCTGGTGCCTGCCACCATACCCGCGCCTAATTTTCGTAATTTTGTATGTAATTTTGTATATTTAGAGATGGGGTTTCACTATGTTGACCAGGCTGGTCTCGAACTCCTGACCTAGTGATCCACTCACCTTAGCCTCCCAAAGTGCTGGGATTACAGGCCTGTGCCCGACCCTTTATCCTCATATTACAGGTGAGATGTCCGAGGCCAGAGAAGGGGAAGGTGCCTTGCTCCAGGGAGCACAGCATAGGTGGAGCTGGGACTCCTGGCTTTCCCCTGAGAACCTCATCTGATGATGGTGTCCCTGCTTTATCTCACTTGTCCGGGAAAACGGAGTTGTGGCTTCATCCCACTTGCATAGACTCACCTGGGGAGCCCCGTCCTCCCCATACCCCTGACCTGGGCTTCATAGCTCTGCAGTGCAGGCAGGCATGTTATCTCACTTTCAAAAAAAAAGCCTGCATTTTGACTGGGTGCGGTGGCTCACGCCTGTAATTCTAGCAGTTTGGGAGGCCAAGGGGGGCAGATCCCTTGAGCTCAGGAGTTCAAGACCAACCTGGGCAATATGGCGAAACCCTATCTCTACTAAAAACAAAAAAACAGGGCCGGGCGCGGTGGCTCAAGCCTGTAATCCCAGCACTTTGGGAGGCCGAGACGGGTGGATCACGACGTCAGGAGATCGAGACCATCCTGGCTAACACGGTGAAACCCCGTCTCTACTAAAAAATACAAAAAACTAGCCGGGCGATGTGGCGGACGCCTGTAGTCCCAGCTACTCGGGAGGCTGAGGCAGGAGAATGGCGTGAACCCGGGGAGGCGGAGCTTGCAGTGAGCTGAGATCCAGCCACTGCACTCCAGCCTGGGCGACAAGCGAGACTCCGTCTCAAAAAAAAAAAAAAAAAAAACAAAACAAAAAAAAAAAACAAAAAAAAAACAAAAAAACAAAAAACACGTCCGAGTGCGGTGGCTCACGCCTGTAATCCCAGCACTTTGGGAGGCTGAGGCGGGTGGATCACAAGGTCAGGCACTCAAGACCAGCCTGACCAACATAGTGAAACCCCATCTCTACTAAAACTACAAAAAATTAGCCGGACGCGGTGGTGCATGCCTGTAATCCCAGCTACTCGGGAGGCTGGGGCAGGAGAATCGCTTGAACCTGGGAGGTGGAGGTTGCAGTGAGCTGAAATCACGCCACTGCACTCCAGCCTGGGCGACAGAGCAAGACTCCCTGTCAAAAAAAAAAACCACACCCCCCCCCAACACACACACACACAAATTAGCCAGGTGTGATAGTGCGTGCCTGTAGTCCCAGCTACTTACAAGATCAAGGTGGGAGAATCTCTTTGAGCGTAGGAGGCAGAGGTTGCAGTGAGCCAAGATCGCACCACTACACTGCAGCCTGGGCAACAGAGTGGAAATCCATCTCGAAAAAGAAAAAAATAGTTTGCCCTATTTAACACATTTTATCCCTTGACTAGATCTTTGTCCATGTCATGTCAGTTACATTTAGTCTTTTGTCTTTTGTTTTCTTTCTTTCTTTTTTTTTTTTTTTTTTTTTTTGAGATGGAGTCTTGCTCTGTCACCCAGGCTGGAGTGCACTGGTGAGATATCAGGTCACTGCAACCTCCACCTCCTGGGTTCAAGTGATTCTCCTGCCTCAGCCTCCTGAGTAGCTGGGATAACTAAACATGGAGGTGTGCACCACCACACCTGGCTAGTTTTTGTATTTTTAGTAGAGACAGGGTTTCGCCATGTTGGCCAGGCTGGTCTCCACCTCCTGACCTCAGGTGATCCTCCTGCCTCGGCCTCCCAAAGTGCTGGGATTACAGGTGTGAGCAACCACATTCAGCCCATGTCAGTTACATTTAAATCTCATTCTTTTTTTTTTTTTGAGACAGAGTCTCGCTCTTGTCACCCAGGCTGGAGCGCAGTGGTGCAATCTTGGCTCACTGCAACCTCCGCTTCCCAGATTCCAGCAATTCTTCTGCCTCAGCCTCCCGAGTAGCTGGGATTACAGGCATTCTCCACCACACCTGTCTAATTTTGTATTTTTAGTAGAGATGGGGTTTCTCCATGTTGGTCAGGCTGGTCTTGAACTCCTCACCTCAGGTGATCCACCTGCCTCAGCCTCCCAAAGTGCTGGGATTACAGGCGTGAGCCACCATGCCCGGCCTTTAAATCTCATTCTTTAGCCACTGCATTGGGATACACTTGTTTTTGGTTTTGGTTTTGGTTTTGTTTTTTGAGATGGAGTCTCACTCTGTTGTACAGGCCGGAGTGCAGTGGCACGATCTCAGCTCACTGCAATCTCCGCTTCCCAGGTTCAAGCAATTCTCCTAACTCACCCTCCTGAGTAGCTGGGAGTACGGGTGCCCACCACCATGCCTGGCTAATGTTTATATTTTTAGCAGAGACAGGGTTTCACCATGTTGGTCAGGCTGGTCTCGAACTCCTGACCTCAGGTGATCCGCCCGCCTCGGCCTCCCGAGGTGCCAGGATTCCAGGCGTGAGCCGCTGTGTCTGGCCACACTTGTTGTTGTCTTATTCCCCTTTCGCCCGGCATCCAGGTTGTTTCCAGTGTCATGTTGTGGCCAGTAAGTCCACACAGCTCTGCCCATGCGGAAACACAGGTGTGGGATCTTCCCCGAAGTGAGGTTTCTGGGTCAAGGGGAAGATGGCTCTTGGAACTTGACAGCTATTGGCAAATTGTCCTCTACAGAGGTTTTAGGTCATACCTGGCTTCCTGGAGAACAGGTGAGCCCTGGAAGGGACTGTTCCCAAGCCTTGCTTCCTGACGTGTATCCCAGGGACCAGCTGTATCAACACTGCCTGGGAGCCTTTTAGAAATGCAGGGTCAGGGCTGGGCGCAGTGGCTCAAGCCTATAATCCCAGCACTTTGGGAGGCCGAGACGGGTGAATCACGAGGTCGGGAGATCAAGACCAT